TAACACTTAGGTTTTGGGGGCATCCTGCAGTTTCAGATTATTTTTGCCATTTGGATCTGGAGCTTCTACCGACGTTCTATCAAAGTTGTTTGACAAGTAATGCCTTTCATCAGGAAACATCTGCTGTATGCATATGTAAGTATGAATGTACTTGAAAAACTTTGCTTCAATTTAAAGCCTAAAGTATTGATCACAATCAATTCAAATGATGGGAAATAAGGTTGCTAAGGTGTCCAAAGAAAGGTATGTATAGGTACACTGAAAATTGTTCTTAATTATAATCTGTTGAATGAATGAAAGCTTATGGCTGAGCTATGGTTTTCCCAAGTTCTCAGAAATTAAGTAAAAATGATTTTAAACTGAGACAGGGGAGGTTTAGGTTAGATATTAGGAGGAAGTTTTTCACACAGGAGGTGGTGAGGCACTGGAACAGGTTGCCCAAGGAGGCTGTGGATGCCCCATCCCTGGAGGCATTCAAGGCCAGGCTGGATGTGGCTCTGGGCAGCCTGGGCTGCTGGTTGGCAACCCTGCACATAGCAGGGGGTTGGAACTGGATGAGTATTGTGATCATTTTCATTCCAGGCCATTCTATGATCATAAGATCATGTTCACTTGTTCACATGTTACTATGTTTTCAAGCTTTTCCTTCTGTCAGAGATCTAGATGTTTGTGTTTTGCAGCTCTTGACATGAGTGTTTTTAAGTAAGGCATGCCTCTAGAGCAGACTTTTTAAATTAACATAGAGAATGTTTCAAAATACAGTCATTGCTATATGGAAGTACTTAACCTAGGATTCCATTCTCAGTTCAGTACTGAGTTGTGTTTGACCTGCATCATTAGCTGTGGTTTTTAAAACAATCTACTGAATGCTTAATAACTGGAAGAAACAGAATGCAACTCCCATACTCTACCTGGGCACAAATGAGGAACTTTGTGTTTAAAACCAAACCATCCCCCAAAGTAATGCAACGGTCAGCAAGATGATTTCCATGTCACTGGAGAACCTGGTGCAAATTGTAATTGCAACCAAGTGTTGAAGGCTTTTAGAATACAGACAACACTCAGATGCTTATTGTTTGAGTTTGAACTTCCACAGAGAAGTAATCACATAAAAGATCAAGGTGTCTCTTTATTACTAGCTGCATTATCCTTGCCTCGTAAACATACAGCAGTGATTTTACAATATTCTTTTACACAGTACGATGGCAGGCACAAAGGGAAGAGAGAATGCGCAATGAGCGTAACTAACCATGCATGGGTAGTAGTGGACATAAATTCAGTAGAGTATAACAGAAATAACAGCTAAGGCTTGGTACGAATGATACTGAGCTACTGTAGCCCATTGGTGTGTTTTCAGAAATGCCTCACTAGTCAGATTCTCATTTAGTTGTTAGAATCAGGAACTCTGTTATCAATACACCGGTGAACCATCGTACATCAGTGACTCACGAGGTCTCATTCCTGAGAGCAAAATTGGCATAGAATCACAGAATGATTTGAGTTGGAAGGGACCTTTAAGGTCATCTATTTCCACTCCCTCTATTTAAAACAGTACTTGCAAACTGTGATATAGTGAATTTTGTGATCGCTATTGATCTTGCTAGAGTTTTATAAATACAGTAGGCTACATTATTATTGTTCTAAGACATATTTCAGTGTAGCAATTCCACCTTAATATTTAAAACCCATATCCTCCTTAACCAGCATACTTTCCTAGTCCCTTCACTATCAAAGCCTTTGCTATCTTGCTATTTTAGTACTCATCTACCGCCTCTTTCCATTCTTAGCTCTTCCATGTGTACCTCATATACTTTCTGGATATTTTTTTCCCCATCCTTCCACTGAAGTAATTCTGTCATTTCACATAATGAACATGACGAATATCAAGACGTGGACACTCACTGAGGGAGAAGAACAAGAAGTGCCATTACCGCATGAAGGAATTTATCTTAAAAACGTTGCAAATTATAATACAGCTTTGTTCATATGTAACAAAATTAATTATTCCCTAGAACCTCACCACACATTAATCATCTATTTGACACCTGTATTTGAGCATGCCATTGATTTCAGGATTGCCAGACAGGCATTTTATCACTCAGTAAAATGAACTAGCTAGGAATCATCTAACACCTATTTTCAACGTGGATAGATCAACGTCACCGTCCATCATTAACGTGTTGGAAAAAAAGCTGGGTTTTATGGATTCCCTGACACCGGGGAAAAGGCGTTTAGCTATTGCCTACACACTCATTTTCAAAAGTTTCATTTCAAACCTCCCTTTATTTCTTTATTTCTCCCTTTATTTGGTAAATTAAATCAACTCTAGAAGTCCAAACTAAAACACTGTAAAAGTATTTAGAAAAAAGAAAAGAGTGGGCAATGGGCATTTTCATGTTTTGCAGTTAGAAAATTATTGAAGTGAACTTTGTTTGGAAGTTTCTCATACAACAGAGGATAAAATTTTGTTGATAATTTTCTTATTTAAGTACACTAGGCTTCTCTGCATTTCCTTTTAAAAGAAAATTGTATGTTAGAAAAAAAATCATTATTCCTATCTTCAGATCTATTGGATTTTCTCTTCTCTAGTCAGTCAACAGATTAATAGCAATATCATGCCACAATATTTTAAAAGATTTTGAAAGCACTTTTCAAAGAACAGCAAAATCTACTTAAACACAGCCTCTTGTCTTGCCAAACTCTGTGAACTGTTTTTGTTCCTAGCTCTAGAATAAAGGCCTTGGATAATCCAGACAAAATACCAGTCTTTAAAGTGGAACGCTTACATAAAGAAATGCATTTGTTAACTTTAATATCAAGACTTTATCAGGCTAGTCCTCAAACAGTCAGCCTTCAAGGGTAGCAATGACGTTTTCTTCCATTAGTCTTTTTTTCGTTTTTTTCCAGCTTACTGCCAGCAACAGTAACTGGTTTGTGACTGTCTTCTAATATCTTCTAAGCAAATGACTAAACAAGATTCACATGTTTCTTCTGAATGCTAAATATACTGCAATCCATGCTGGGCAAACTCACTGTGTGCATCACAGCACATGGGTTTCCTCTGTGGTTGGTACAGACAGGGTGTTCTGAACTACCGGTATGATCTTTGATTTGTTCCTGAGTGAAAGCACAAATGTTTCTTCTAGATGGATGTCAGACTGTAGAAATGGACAAAAATGCATGCAAGAAATGGAAAAGTCCTTATTCAAGTGCACCTGTTGGGCTGGGCTCGGCTCCCTAAATCCCATGGCCAAGGTTCAAGGACAGGAATCATTCCTGACCTTGGAGGTTCATCCTCCTGCTCAGGCATTATAGACACTAAAAAGCTGTGCATCACTGGATGTGGGAAAGGCAGTCACAGGCTACAAATGAGTAGATTTTCCCTACGTGATTTCTATGTAGTACTTCCTTTCCATAATGCTTGATGCATACCTGACTTCACAATTCCCCAGGCCAGAGAAAGCCCAGTCAGATGTAACTTGGCTCTGTTTTGACCAGATGCAGGAAAAGTTTCCTCTGTCATGCTGTTTTTATTCTTACTTTCTTTTGATGGAGGAAGAAAACTTTTTTGTTGGTCTCAAGACAAAGTTTGCAAATTCTGCTAGCCTTTGTTTTTGAATTTCTAACAGGGGGTTCAGATTCTTCACGTCTATAAATGAGTACTTTACAAGAGCCTACAGTCTCACTTATTTACACTAGCAAAGGAACTTGCCCAGTTCAACTACCATACGTGCAGCTTGACATTTGAATGGAACTGCAATTAGCAGGGTTATTTGTGTTTAACTTTATTTAGCACCTTATCTTCCTGCAACATTCTTGTCCCCGTACCAGCATCAACCATGAACCCAACACAGCTCTTACTAGTTCTGTTCTATTCTGGGATAGAAAAAATCCCCAGCAAATCCAAAAGAGAAACCAAACCAACCAAACAAACAAACCAAAACAAAACCCAGCAGCAATCCAGATCAAAAGAGGAAGATTCTCTTCAGCTCTGGGGAAAAAAATACATTAACTAAATGTCTTTGCAAAGGCTTTTATTAACATGATACATTCACTCACATGGCAGTTAAGCAACTCATAACTCACTCCAATACACAGGAAAGTTATCGAAATCTTCAAAATAGCCTGGTATTTATTACCAAGCATGTGCAACCTTCCACACAAGTGCTGGTGAGGGACTCAGCTGGCAGGCAATGCAATCCCATGGAGCTATGCTTATTGTTCTACAGCCTGCTAATTACTCAGCTATTTGCTCCCCTCTATTACTGTAGTATCTAAGACTGCAAGCCTGATGGCCAAACCCTTATTCACAGAATTGTTTGAGCTGGAAGGGACCCTTAAAAGCCATCTAGTCCAGCTCCCCTGCAGTAAACAGGGACACTAAATCAGGTGCTCAGAGCTCTGTCTAGCCTCACCTTGAACGTCTCCAGGAATGGGGCATTCACCACCTCTCAGGGCAACTTGTGCTAGGGTCAAACATATAAACCCATATCAAGCCTGTTCTTTTTACTCCTATTAAAAGCAGCACCGTGGCAGAACCCAGGCTGGTTCGGAGCTCTCCTCCCCACTGCTTAACATCTGAGCAAAGGAGCCCTGAAGGCTCTGGCATTTCAAATTTGAAGGCGATGGCTCATCCCATGGGTCGTGCCACTGACAGACCGCAGCCCTGCAAAAACCTTTTCTGGAGCACTTTGTCCCCACGGGAGCCAGCAGGAACAGCAGGACAGGAAAAGCTGCTGGGTGGGGGGTGCTGGTAGCTGCACCCCGGCTGTCTATGGAAGAGGACGTCCACAGAAGAGGTCGCGTGCGCGCTGCTGGCTGCAGGTGTGCGTACAGGTGTGGGGAGCAGCGCCTCCGGGCGGGCGGCCCCAGGGTTGCGGGCAGGGCACGGCCACGCTCCGATCCGCCCCGTCTCGGCTTCCCCCTCACCTTTCCTGGCCGGGAGCCGCCCCCGAGGGGCCGGGCCAGCAGCGGCGGGAGGACACCCGGCTCTAGCCGGCGGCACCGTGCGGCAGCGCAGCCCCGACGCCTCCGCCTCAGCCATGTCCTCCAGCTCTCCCCCGGGCGAACACAAGAGCCGGAGCCTGGGCCGGCTTTCCCTGCCTAGGAAGGGCAGTATGACGCCCGGCAAGAAGCCCCCCTCGCTGGAGCTGGCCGAGAGCGTCCCGAACGCCCACTACACGCCGCTCCCCGAGGGGCAGGGCGGGCGGCCGCCGGCAGGCAGCGGTCCCGCAGCGACGCGGGAAAGGCCGCCACACGTGAAGAGCGATGTGGTGGTGGTGGGCGCGGAAAGCTCGCGGCCCCCGGTCAGCCTGGACCCCCGCGTCTCCATCTATAGCCTCCGCAAACCGCTGCTGAGCCGCAGCAACATCCAGGGCCGGGTGTACAACTTCTTGGAGCGGCCGACGGGTTGGAAGTGCTTCGTGTACCATTTCACAGTGTGAGTAACCGCCCCTCGCCCTACCCACCTGCGTCTGGGGCCCGGGGCTGGCCCTGAGGGAGCGGCGTCCTCTCCCGGCTGCTGCTGTCTGTAGGTGTGTGACGCTACGGTACTCCTGCAAGGAGAGCAGCGCGGCTGAGCGGAGGGGACGCTCTGCCCTTGTAGAATTAATTTCCATCGCTTTTTCTAGTTTGGACCGACTTTTAGTTCTCTCTGGTCCGAGTGCCACCGCTGCTATTTTCAGTCAGGAAGGAGGATGATTCTGGGAGGATGTTAGAGCTGCGAGCGAGTTAGAAACGTTGAGTGTAGCCACCAGAGGTCTGTGTCCACCCTCAGCCGTCGCCTGCCGGTTGCTGGGGGGATCTCTGCAAGCGAATCCTTGAGAGATCAGTGCTTTATAATCGTGGGAGGTTTGTGTGGCCCTCGAGAGGTCTTAAAAGTAGGGAACAAGGTCAGGCTGAGGCAGGAGACCTGTTCATGTCTCTGTATTGATGGGTTGATGGATGGATTAGATGGTCTTGGTAGTCTTTTACGACCCTAATGATGACTGATTGCGTACATGTGCATGCCTATATGTCCTACATACATATGTGCTTATTTCAAGAACTAGAGGTGATAGCATTTTTCAAGCCTGAAGATAAAGACTTCTGTTGAAATTTAATTACTGTGATCTTAAAGTATTCAGATCTCAAATTCTACAGTAACTTTTATTTCTAAGCAAATTGAGGCTCGTGTGCCAGTTTTCCACATTTTGGGATTCTGGAGTGAGGTAAATGGTACCAACTTTGTTTTAGCGGAGAGGAAGCAGCTGTAATCAGAGTGTATTTCAGTGGGAGTTGGCTGTATACAGCTGCTGAGATAATTGTGGGTCCTGCTCTGTTTCAGATGCCATTAGATGACAAAACAACTAACGGCTGTAATTATGAAGTGTCAAATTGTGAACAATATACAACACTTTGAGGAACAGGAAAATCCCTAAAAGGAGACTGAAGCAGCCTTCTTTCATAGTATTGACACTTTTCTGGTGTGTAAAAAGTGCAGGCAGTAAACCACGTTGAGTATCTCACCTAATTTTCAAATCTTAATGCTGATCTTAGGAAAAAACATCCTGGAGAAGTCTATTAGATCTATTTATTTCGGTAGGAATCTAGCCTGAATTGTAACTGTTCTCACACATATTAACTGTACGGATTAATCCTGACTGTGCCAGGATATTAGGATATGCACAGCAAGCCCATTGCCCGCCTCTCCTTCAGTACACTCCTGTTTGTGCTATGAGCATTACCTCTGTGCTTCCCTCTTTCCAGTAGAACTGTTTTTGATGCAGTGGTGAATGACAGCAATAGCAAATATTCTCAAGTTTTTTAACTAAGCATTGCACAAGTTCCTTGTCTTAGGGCTTTAAGGGACAGGGTGTACTCCTGTCCTGATGCGTTTCTTGCAAGGCAGTCTGTAAGTGTGGTCTGTATGTTTTCAGGCAGCTCCACTCAAATTTCCCCCAGCAGAGGAAATTGAGTTTGTACCAGCCTGAACCATCCCAACATCTTCTAATTTCTGTGGCCTATAAGCCTGCACACTCTGTACCTGTGATAATGTTTCAGGTTTCTGGTCTTCGGTCCATACCCCTCCAACTCTCTTACTTTATGCTGGACCGAGGAATGCTCTCTTTGAGTACTGCTGCTGCCAGCAAGATGTTGAGTATTGGTTGCTTAATTCCTGCAGTGCATGAGCTTGGGATTAAAATTAACGGGAAAGGCAGACAGTTGATCTGATTTGGGGAAGCTGTTCTGGAGGAGATGTGGGACCTGATTTCTGCATTGGTTTGTTAGAATTTTGTGTGCAGAAGCCCCTTGCCAAAATCAGCTCAAGATACCGATGTCACTTACCTAGACCCTCTTTGTCATTCCCTCTGCTGGCTGCCTCCTGCTTTGTTCTGGGGGATTTCAATTGCATGAGAGGTCTCAGTTTCTCTTACAGGTTCAGGGGATAAGAAGGCAGAACAGGACCAGTGTTACAGAGTAATGTTAAACTAGTGAATAAAGACCAAAACTGGGTAGGTTTCTGGCCAAGATGTTGCCTGAAGATAGGAGTACAGTGGTCTGTATTTTCTCTCTATTGCACTCATCTACACCATGTAGAGTATGTAGCTATGTTCTTGGTTATAGACTGAAAGGATAGACTTAAAGGATTCTGTACTTAAAGGATATCTATAGAATAATCAAAGTATCTTTTTCTGGACCTGTGCTTCTGGCTGTTTAAAGCCTGTTTATTAAGCAAGAAAAGCTACATCTCCTGACTATCACACAGATTGACAATATATGAAAACCTCTTCTCTAAGAGGTGAAATGCGTGTTCTTTCTCTCTTGGTAATGTTTTTGATTTCCCAGGATAATGAGATATCAAAGTCACTGATTAAATCTATTGAGCTCTGCAAAAGTCTCTTCTGAGTTGTTTTATTTACTCCTGAGCGAGCAGAATAATAAATGGATTATTGTACCTAATTTATACTCTATTTCTCTAAGCTGTAGCAGTAGTTTCTATGGGGAGAAGGAATGGAGAAAGGGCTATTAATTTGCCACTATAAATGGCCTGACTGAAATACTAGCAGAAATGATACATCAGCAATGTTGCATTGAATTTCATTTAAATACACAAAGTGTATAGTATATGTATGCTGAATTCTACCTGTGCAAATAAAGAGCTGGAAATTTACATGCATAGTTTCTGCAAACACAACTGATGGTTGCTTAGGAACTTGGATTTTGTACATCAGAGTCAGAGCTTGCCCTGTGGCATGGTTATATGTAAATGTCCTTCTGGAGCCACCAAACCCGTGGTGAGGTTTGGTCACAGGTGAAGGAATGAGTGGGTGCCACTGTTCTCATTGACCTTTGGAGCTAGGGCATCTTATCACACTTATCTTAGCTGCGTGCCTTGAGATACTGGCTTTGAGTGGTGAAATGTCCTACAGTATTAGCCAATCATGTTTTGAGGCTGTATGAAGAGGTGATGGGGCAAAAGGATCTTAATTTCTGTCTTTATAGTGACTCGTCGAAATCCCGAGGCTCTGTTTCTGTGTTGGAAATGACCGTAAAGAACGAGTCCTAGATTTCCAAGAGGGATGGGTTTCTTTTCACCTTCTGTAAATAGTTCTAAATCACATGTCTTAATGTGTTTGAAGAAACTTAAGTTATGAGCTTTCTGGTGTTTTCTTTAGTCTTCTGTTTGGCAAATAACTTCTGGCAACATGTACTGTGTGCTGACTTCCTGTGCTCTTTGAAGTGTTGGCCATTATCAGTGAAAAAAAACTCACGAGTAGATGGATCATTGGTCTGTTCATGTATTGCAACTCTCTTATGTTGCCATGCAAGATAAGTCCTCTATCTTATCTTTGCATTGATTTATGTACCCGTTTCAATTTACTTTGCTTTTGTATATGTTCGGTTTAATCAGCCGTGATTGTGATTGAATTTTCTTTGAATCCTGAGGTGTTTACATAAGCTTGGGCTGGCTGGTGGCTGGGATCTGGGAGACCTGTCTATAAAGGCAGATGGCAACTCAGAAGTGTGAATGCAGAGATGAGGAGAACAGGCAGCTATGTGGGCTGCTCCAAAAGTAACGCCTCCTATTTTATTATGTTGGCCCAAGACATCAGAGGCAGATGGATGTTAATGGTATGGCAGTAGAAGTTGAACCTTCCCACCAATATTCATACATTTTGTTGATGTGTGACCGATGGGAGCAGAGAGGCAGTCTGGCAAAATAGTGTCTGACACGGAAGTGTGGATGAAACAAAGTGGTGTCATTGAATTTCTCCACGTGGAAAAAGTTGCACCCACTGATACTCACTGGCACTTGCTGAGCATTGGTGAAACCCATAGCTCAAGGTGGTGACTATTTGGAAAATAGGGTTTTGTAGATCTTCAAGATCTACTGCTCACGGAGTGTGTCTGGACAAAATGAAGTGGAAACACGGTGACAAACGTAGCTTCCTCCTGCCTTATCACAAAATCGAGTGATTTGTTCACAGCAAAGTGGGCAACTTTTTGCAACCTTTTGTGTGAAATAAAAGGAATCAGAAAGAAATCTTTCCCTATTCCCAGAGAGGAGATGAGCTTTTGCCTGGACCATTACCAAGCTGGCTGAATGCGTAAGACAGCATGCTCGTGGTTAGGAGTTGCCACTGCAGAATTTGCTCTGTTGCCAATCATTCAGATACTGATGTTTTTGAGTCTTGGCCAGATTTCTGATACAGGGCTTTGAAATCAGTTTCTTCGCACGTTGGGTACCCTCAGTGATACTGGAGAAGAAGTAGTCCAGAAAAAGTGTGTAATTAACACCAGAATTTGACTTGGTATCCTACCAAAAATGTCCAGTCATGTACAGCACATATTTTCAAGGAAGACGAAAAGTTTATTCGATAGTATTTTAAATCTTATTCAATGAACAGAGCACGATAATTTCATGCTGTGTGAACCAAGTGACAGCTATAACATTAATTATTTTTGTTCAGCCCAGGTATTGTGCAGAAGGAACTTAGCTGTTTTTCTCCTCCTTCCTTCCCTGCTGCTGCATGACACGATACAGCTGTTTTGCTACAATTTTGCATGAAGATGCTTCTTTGGACTTGTGCAATAGAGATAGTATTTGTGTTGGCCAGCATACAGCTTTTCTCTCTTTTGTTGTGCTGTATTTCCCAACCTGTGACTTGACAGAAGCTTGGAGCTTGAAACTGCATGAGGCAGGGGAACTCTGTGGGGACAAAAGAGCCTTTGCTATTTTACTGATGATGTTCAAGCTTTTGAGTAGCTGATGGGAGCAGAAAGCTGTAAACTTCAGAACGCTAACGCTCAGTGAAGACCAAGTTGTGTGTGATGGATGAGCAACTCTGTGGAATCTGTGCAAGAGGTGATAAATGTTATCAATTTGGGCAGGCTTTCCTGCAGGTAGGCTTTCTCCTCTCTTTTCCAATCATCTTTCCAATTTAACACTCTGAGTTC